ATATTAATACTGAAATAAGAAGTCATTTTTACCAACACTAAAGTCAAATCAGGTTTGGCAGTGAAAGTGAATTAAGTCTTGCAGTTGTAGATATGAGGCTTGGAGAACAGCTTTTAATGTTTATTTCTTTCTATATGACAAACTATGTCAGCCCCCTAAAAGAATTGCATTTTGAAAAAACAGTTTGATCTCAAATCGATACTGAATTTGATGTCTTGGCAAACAGCTAATCTACAATTGAATGATTTGAAAAGGTAGAACTTGTGTACACTCTATGCAGAGGGAGGAAAGTCAAGGAGTCTTCCTTTTACATTTGACAAGGGAGCATTTGCCATTTATTAACAGCTGAGTGAAAAGTAGATAAAAATGCCCCAAGCATGGATACAAAAATTCCTAAGCATGGCTTTCATGACTAATTATTAGCTTATGAAAATAATTTGCAATTAGGATGCCCAAACATGGCTTGGCAATCCCATCACAAAAGTAAACAGCTTGTCATGTGCATTCATGGTGGGATTGCTGAACCATATCAATTCTGTCACATTTCATCCATGATAGAGTTGGGGACCATGAATAAACTACTGGCTGGAGTACTGAAATAGTACCGGACGGGAAGTAGTTGCAGCAGCTACCCATTATACCTGAAACAATCTCTACTAGCTATCAGCAGAACCTGTTACAGATGTTCTAGCTCCAATCAATTTACAACAGATTGCTTGCACTAATGTGATGGTCACCCACAAGCAGTATGCAATGAAGCATGATGTTTCTGATGCAGTAAAGTGGGCTACATTTCTTCAGAGTGCCAAGGAATCAAGATGTCAGAACCAGTCCATGCAAGATATGAATGAGGTGTCACCTATATTTAAATTAAGAGTCCATTGACTTCTAATGAAGGTTCTAAGGTTTTAGCCATTAATGAACTAGGTGGAGTTAAATAAACCAGTTTAGCAGTTTGTATGCAAGGCCATTAATGAACCTGATTTTCAGTGCCAAATTTGACTGAAATACTGTCTTGCTTGTATTGGTAGGATGGTTGAAAGTCAAGGATATTGCAATATAGTGGATCAGGTTTGGGAGGAGTTTAACTGGGAACTGCAAGTATGATTGGACAATGGTTAGCTACCTCCATATCTCAAAGAAGAGCTATGTCCACCCATGTACATCCCATAATGGATTTTTGAGAGCTCAATGTGTATGTCAATGTGTTTGTGGGCAGAAATTGAGAGAGCAGTGGCAGCAGCAAGGATCTAATGTCTCAATAATTGATTTGAGGAGAACCTACATCCAGGTACATACGTACAAATCACTGTGGCTTTTCCAAAAATGAAGTTTAAAGGGCAAATTTAGGGCCTTGTCAGAGGTTGGAGGGGGGGGTTACACCATTAATAATGAGATCAGCTGTCAGTGACTGAATGAATCCATCCAGAACATGATGCTTACCTATATTGACAACATTTTTGTCAATGAGACTGTGATATCCACAATGGGCATAAGAAGATATTTAGAAAGACATGGACTTGGAAAGACTTTGACAAATGTGTAAGGACACAAGTAATTGGAAGATAGTTCTTGAGTATTGGGTTTTGCAAGTTTGGTTGGGAACACAATAAACTTTGATGGAAGGTAACTTCCAGGAATCAATAGTTATATTATCAGTTTGTTCTTGGGAAGCACAAGGCATTTGCTTGTGTGAAACTGGCCCAGCATTTCTGATGTCTGTTCAAATTTAAGATGGGAAGAGTGACTTGGATTAAAGGTTTAGTCAGTATTGGTCAGTGGGATACCATGCCCTGTGAAGGACCTTCATCTTGTTTTGGAAGCAGGTGCAATAATGAGTAAACACAATTATGAATCAATATAAGGTGAGAGGGTGATCAGACTTGATTAAGTCTGACAACTCTTTACAAGCAGTGCAAACTGATGACTCTTCCAAAGATGATTCATCCAGAGAAGAAGTAGAGACTGCTTACTTATGAAGGAGCATCAGGCAGAAGAGACCAGCCCCATACTGTCACCTCTGATCAAGAGATCATGAGGGAATATGATGCAAGCAGTAGGAATGAATGTAATAGAACTGAAAACAATAGACTTATCGATTGACATCAAAAGAAACACTAAGTAAGCTGTGCTTGGTTTGGCAACTGCAATAATAATAATGTTAAATTATCCTTTTTATCTGTGGTATACATTTGAATGTTGATAGCATCCTTTAGTATAAAAGAGAACACTGACCTGTGAGAAGGAATCATTTTCAATGGTGGTTAAAGCAAATAAAGTCTTGCAGTTGTAGATATGAAGCTTACAACTGAAAAACAACTGTCATTATGTCTGCTGTTTTTTTTATGGTACATAGCAATTGACAGATATTTAAATTTTCTCAAGAATTTCCTTATAAAATTACACACACAGAGCAAATACTAAAAGAGAAAAACTTCTTAAGGATGTTTCATTAGAAGGAACTTCTTCAGACCAAATGCATCACTAAGTAGTTTCTGAATTCTTCAGTTGTTTACTGACTGTTACACTATTAGCCACTGTTATATATTAAATTCAATGACTGTGGGTACATTCCCAACCAAGGGATCAACAGATCCACAAAGTTGAATTAAATCAGTTTGGTAACTTTGAGCAATAGGAAATGTGAAAGAAAAATAAAGAGAAAGTGAGATAGTTGGAGGCAGGTAAGATTTTGAACATTATTTCAGCCATTTGTGTTTCTTACATATATCTTTAAGAAAACAAAATTTATACGTAATTTTTAAAAAGAAACATCAATTCCCAAAATGCAGGACAATCACTCATTTTGTAGAAATGTTGGTAATCATATTTAATCTCTGTCACAAAATACAAATAATGCTACTTTTCTTCAACAGTTTTGTTCTCCTTGGCAATTTTCTTTTTCTTTATTGATATTTTTTGTTTCAGGTATATAGTTAATAAAAAACAAGTCTTTCTCCTTTTATTTAGTCTTCTCTCAAATCTCTTTCAAACATGATTTTGTGTTGTTTGTGTTAGTTGTCTCTTAGTTCATGTACCCTCTCCACCTCAGTATGAGATCAAAACTATTCCTTCTCTCATTATGAAAAAAATCCTTGTTGTGTATGGTGGTTTTCTGTCACCTTGGAATATGTTATCAAAATTATTCCTTCTTCCAATATGGAAAAAAAATCATTTTCTGGTGTATGTGTGTGTGTATAATCTGTCATCTTAGCTGCAGCCGCATACCAATATGAGTAGCCAAATTTATCACTTATAACTTTATGAAAAAAACAAAAAACAAAGCAAAATAAAACAAACTTTCCATTTACTCATGTCTGAGTTAGTTGTATACATCTCAATTACCCCTCCACCCTCAAAACGTCCTTGAAACAAGTTATCATTTCACTAATATCCTTATCAGGACTGTTTTTTTTTTAATATATATAAAAATTCAATGCTTATTTCTGCTTTTCATCATATGAGTTATCAAATTTATTTCTTCAAATAAAATTATAAAAAAAGAAACCCAGACATTGTTGCAAAGTACATTTGTATTATCTGATAAGGTATAGGTCATAGTGAGGAGGTAGAGTTTTCTTCTCTACATTGGAGAGAAATTAGACCTTGCTGATCTTGAAATTGACTGTTTGGCCTTTCTGGGTAGGTCAAACTCAATACTGCTACTGCAAAGTATTGAATGGGATGAGGGACATATTTATTTAACTTATTAAAATATTGATCATGAAAATGATTCTGTGGGCTGTGTGATTGAGACCCCTGCACTATTAGTTTGATATTATATAATCATATCTTCCATATATTAGTGAGAGATATATACACAGATTTATGTTACTGTTGTCTGGTGCATGGATATGTGGATAGTGTAATGGTTATTGACTTGGAAAAAGAAATTAGTGAGCTGTTTGAATTCCTGGCTGAGTTCCTTATGCTCACTTTCACACAAGTACCTGGGAGGGTATGAACCAATCTGTTCTCAACACTATGGGTTAAAAAGTGCTGCTGGCTAGGTTCTCTTGCCTTGAGGTGGCAACTAGTCTAGGAAATGGAAAACTGTATAATTTGGTAGGAGTTTCAAAACAAGAACTATGACTATTGTTTCATTTTCTGTAAATAAGAATAATTTTTATTTGTACCTAAATTAAATTTTACAACAAATACATAAGTGCTATGAATGCATCTCCATTCTTTTAGCATGTGTTAATAGCAAGAAAATAATGATTACTTGAAAATGTGTCATTAGTAACAATCACCAATGCTATTTAAGATGGTTCTTTAATATGGGTTAATACTTTTTAACTTATCATTTAAACCTATTTATAATAGAAGAGTTTTACATAGAGTACAAACCTATTCAAACACAACACAGTGAAAAGAAAAGGATTTATTTTAGATCTTATCAAGTTAAAAGAAATCAATAAAAATATATTAAACTATTTACATAAAAAGTGATAGAGCCATTGATTGGGTTGTGTATTAGGTACTGGTTGCTAATAATGAGATGCTAAAAACTATAAAATTAATAAAAATTTAAATTTTCTTCGAATATGCACAATTTTTTTCCTATATTTTTTAGTTACATGTATTTCATCTTTAAATATATATTATTTATTATACTGAACATTTCCTAACACCATTTAAATGTAATTGAATTTTTTATGATTTAAAGCATTCAGTATATCATCATTATAATGAAAGTAATCACAAAAGACTATATTTTTTTACAAGATTTTGTTTTAGTTTTGTAATATCCCTGCTAAAATCCAAGAGAAAATTCTAGTGTACATTCTCAAAATAATATTTTAAAAAAGACTAACATCTGTAAAGCAGAGAAGCCAAAAAAAATTATAATTAATTTTGTACCACTGAATTCTTAAGTTCTTGTAAAACTAATATCAATAGAGTGTATAGTTGCTTATAGTAATGTTGTTTCAATAATAAAGTTTAAAACTGTGTTTCAACTGTAAATAAAATACTAATTTTTCTTACTTTTTGCTCAGGTGTGGATTACTGCTGGAGATTTGTGTCTCCAAATATAGTCCATGCGTGAGGGATACATATCACCATGGAAGGAATGGACATGTTAAGAATGCACATGATGGAAAAATGTACTGGTGCTCAGAAGAGGAAACAGATGTCTCGACGTTACCAACCACGACCAAAACTAATGTATGATGATGATGATGATGCTACCCCACTAAATCTCTCCATTAATGACTCGAATTCTCATTCAATTTCATCAACAAATACACTTAAAAAAGAGGCTGAAGACAGTTTGAAATTCTCAAAGGTTTCGTTGACTAAAGTGCAGTCTAGCACAAACTCTGCTGTGATTACTGGTAACCATTCTGTTGGACATGAATCCCTGAAACCTTGGAGTGAAAATGGCTGTGATATTTCTACAAGGGTTTCACCTTCTGGTGATTCTCCAAGGAATTCTATTCAATATACTCAAACCAACGACTCATCTAAAGAGATACCAAAGTATCGTAAACCACACAAGCACACCATTGAATCCTTATTGGAAGAAGAGAAACCACATCAAAAATTGGATAGTTATCCACACAGTCCAGATGTTCCCCAGAAATTTGATAGCTATGCTGTCAGCACGGACCATAACAAAAAGCTGACTGTGATTTTACAGAAGATCACTCCTCGAGATGACAGCAGAAATTTGATGAAAGAACCCGAGGTGGTCAACTCTCTGGCAGTTCCTCTTATTGGGCCCACTTCAATTCCTCTTGATGAAACAAAGACCTCACGTTATGAAACCCGGGGACACAACCGTAAAATGATTCATCCAATTTTATATTTCAGTGATTCAGATGATGATGAGTTTCCTCCAGTGTGGAACTCACGTCGGGGTAAGAAACGTAAAAAAAGAAGCCTTCCTAAACCAACAGGAATAAAGAAAAGGCCAAGCATCTTGAAGACAGATATTCCAAAGAAAAAACCCCGGAAAACTTTAGGTACGCCTAGAAAAAAGTCCAAAAAAAGAACTGAATTTAGGTTACGGCCATGCATCAAACTTCCAAAGATAATAAAGGCTCATTGCAAAATTTGTGATAAACCGTTCCGGACAATAAGTACAATGAAGAAACATTTGCTCATTAAACATAATTTGTCTTCACATTCACAGCTGGCTATCAGCAAATGGCTATGCAGCCACTATGGCTACTTGCAGTACTTCTATAAAATGATGGCTGTTTATCATCTGCCCAACCTTAGGAAACAGTATACATGTTTGAAGTGCCAAAGAATATTTAAGCGCTATAGCATTCTTCGCCTGCACTGTAAGAAAGTTCACCTAATGGGCAGGCCAGTATCTCTAACCTCTCGTCTACGCTCTAGCAGATTCTTTAGAAAGAAGATATTGATGCCATATTGGAAGAATCAAAAGAAAGAGTACAAGAAACGTGGCCGTAAGCCCAAACCCCCTTACTTGAAAGGTTACAAGAAGCGAGAGTTCCGATGTCCAATTTGCCTCAAGTACATTGCGTCCAACAAGACACTTGTGGTGCATCTTTTGCGTGTGCACTCATTAAAAGAAGATGAGATATCATGTAGTGTCCTGCAGAATCTGAAGTGTGTGGAAACCGATTGCAATTTTGAAGGGAAGTCTTTGAAGTCACTGTCAGACCATGCTCGCCAAGTTCATCCAAGTGTACGACATTTTTGTCCCTACTGTAATCGGGGCTTCTACCTGGAATTTCTGCGAGATAAGCATGTACTTATGAAGCACAAATATCGAGAGCAGCTTCTGAAGTTTGCCTGTAACCATTGTGGTAAACGCTATCTACGCCGATGCCATTTAAGGATGCACCAGTACTCAAAGCACTCCATACCACACAATGTTCAAGTAAGTATTTTTATTTTATTCTGTTTTCACTTAGAGATTTCTTTTTTAGAAAACTTAGCTTTAATTCTGCAAGCAAAGACATTTAACAAGTTTTATTTTTATGACATGTGAAGAGAAGATACAAGTATATTACAAGCTTTATATATATATATATATATATATATATATATATATATATATATAAAAAATGAAATTGCTAGAAAATTCTATACAAAAACTTGTTGCATAGAGAAAAAACAAGATTTAGAAAAAAACTAATATTTATATTTATTTATATGTAATATTTATAATACATGTATTTTTACAGAGAAATATTAAAATTGAACTTATTTACTTATAAGTGGCTTTTCAGTATAATTGTTTTATTTTAACTGGTTTTGCTTTTAGCTTATCAAAATTCATTTGATTTGTTCAAAACACAACTATCAACACGTGGAATTATAAACAGTTTCAAACTTTTTGAAAAGCTAAAAGTGAAACTGGCTAAAGTAAAACAATTTAAAGTAAAAAGTAAAACAATTTTTTCTGAAAAGCCACTTATAACACAATTTTAATTTTAATATTTCTCTAAAAATACATGTATTATAAATCTCTATAAAACGGCAGGATGTGAGTGTGTGTAATGAATGCATGGCCGCAATTTTTGACGGATTTGCACCAAAATTTACATGCACATGCTCCAAGTTAGCGAGAAGGCTAAGACCGACTTTGCATTTCCCAACTCCCATCGATAGTGGAAATAATCGATTTTTTCCTGCTTCTACAGCAGTTTTCATGTAGTTTGTGGCCATTTCATACTGGCCTATAGCTGGTTGCCACAAATAGGCAGGAAGATTCTATTGGCCAGCGTGAGAACCAACAGCTGACTGACACGAATGTTAACTAGCATGCAAAACAATTGGTAGCTGCATTCGTCACAAGTGGGAAAAATTTAAATCTACATGGCACTTTACTCCAATTGGCTCATTCGCTTGCTTAAACTCAACATTGATTCTGATTCTGCAGAACTGGGTTGGGTGTGAAAAAGTATCTGTTGTTAACATTCTTTTTTCATTCGGTTTTTCCAGTTACGAGTCCTTTTTTAAAGCTGATCGTTTTGTGTTCATTTTGTATAGTTCTTTTTTTGTAACAGATTTAATGTTTAGTATAGAGCTTAGAAAAAATTTGCAGTGTGAGATAGGCAAGAAGTAAGGCATGTAGCAACATCAGCACGGCAAAGGGGACTCGTTTAAAGGCAAGGAAGGGCAAAAATATTTTAAGTCAAGTGATGGCGATTGCTGTATGAGTCGTTTTGAATCAAGCACGGGCATCGCTGGGCCATGCTGCTAGTATTACATATAAATAAATATAAATATTAGGTGGGTTTTTTTTTTTCCAAAATCTTATTCTCCCTCTCTCTCTCTATCTATCTATATATATATATATATATATATATATATATATATTATCATCCATCACAGATAGACTGTTTCACTATATCACAGCTCTTCAGCAAGGCTAGATGTCCAATTGCTAATTTGACATCAGTCAAAGATCCTACCCCTAGGCTATCATCGCATGGCAGAGAGAAAGGGAACTTTTAACTTTTTTTTTCTATACGAAATATGTCAGCGGCCTGGATAACTCAATTTGTACTTGAAGATTAATGCATTAATAGCAGTAGGAGTTGCTGTTTTTAAAAAAAACCTTTCTCTCGAGAGCTCAACCAGACTTTCAAGGAGCACATATATATTGTCATCCACAGACAGACTGTTTCACTGTATCACAGCTCTTCAGTGTGGCTAGATGTCCGATTGCTTCAAGCCAGGATAAAAAACCCGACCAATTTGACATCAGTCAGAGATCCTACTCCTAGGCTATCGTTGCATGTCAGATATATATATTTAGTTGGATTGATGTGAGTTTGCGACTCTGGATTGCAGGGAGCGTGAAACCCAGGGTTACAAATTCACATCAGTCCAACTAAATATGTTAGCTCTATCACTGATATTGAGTGCTTTCCAATAAGTACCACGCATATATAATATATAAATAATATATATAAAAAATTGCACATATATTTATATACATACATATTATTTATTTATATATATATATATATATATATATATATATATATATATATATATATATATACACACACACACACATATACACAGGGCGTGATGAATAAATTGTTGTCTAAATTATGCAAAAATGAAAATAACACTGACATCTCATTTTAACAGATATATTTACCAAAATTACACAAAAAATATCTTTGAATACCAAAGAGTAAATATATTCAATAAAATCGCCAATGGCTTCAACAACCACAGCCTCCAGATGACTTCAGAATCTCCTGCATCTCTTTTGGATGGTCTCCTTGTTTAAGTTGGTGAATGCTGCCATAATCCTTGCATTCCGTTCATCTTTGGTGTTACAAGGAGTTTTTTGCTCAACTGCACCCACACATAATAATCAAGGGGGTTGCAGTCTGGGGAGTTAGCTGTCCAGATGTAAGGGGTAATGTGCTCATAGAAATTGTTTGACAGCTATGACTGGATTCTCCTGCTTGTGTGGTATGGTACAGAGTCCTGTTGCCAAGGATAAGGTCTTCTAGCAGCCACCTTCTTGACCCAGAGCAGCACTACCTCCTCAAAGCACTTGATGTAGGCTTCTGTGTTCAGTCTGAGGCCCAGTGGGAAGATGAATGGAGTTATAATGTCAGCATCACTAGCGATGACCTTCAGACACTTTGGAAGCACCATTAAGCTCATCCAACTCTTTCCGAATCCTCTGCACTATCTTCAAATTGACACCCAAACACTCCGAAAGGTTTGTATTGGAGCTTTCGGCATGAATGACAAGCAGTGCAGCATGCCATTAACAAATTTCTGGTGGAGTAAATTGTGTCATGGTGCTTTTTTTCACATATGGTGCCCAAATGACCATACTATACTGTGCAGTTGACAAAATAAAAACAAACGATGTGCATGCACAAAATTAAAAATACAAAATAGTGACAATATATATATATATATATATATATATATATATATATATATATATATATATATATATATGTATAATGTGTATAAAAAAGATAAATTTTTAAGGTATGCTACATTTAGGAGTTAAATGCTCGATGTCAAGGATAGAGCGATGTAAATATACAAGTGGACATTGAGGTTGACACCCAACAGTGACAGTCTGTTCCATGCCTAAGCACAATTTTCACCCCATGTGCTTTGTGTTTTGGTTCAACTATGGATATATATGCTGGCCAGTGATGTATTATGGGTAGGCATATTGTATTATTCTAATGGTTATTAGGTGAGCAGTAATGATTATATTTTGAATTATCCTAGGGGTTATTGAGTGGAAATAATTGAGAATCCACATGAAGTCTTGTGGCTGATTTATAGTGTTGTTTTTTAACCTTATTTATTGATTGCTTTGCTATTGATTGTTATTATGTCTACTTGTGTTAATATGTGGATTTGTTTGTTAATTTGTTTATTATTTACTTAATTTATTTATTGATCTGGATTAATTTATTATACTTATTTTTTATTTATTTTTATTTTCTTGTTCATTTTTAGTTTTAGATTTTTAAGTAATGTAGTAACAATTACAATAATACAATAGACCTACCCATAATACATCACTGGGCATATATATAGTCGTATGTGTGTAAATATTCACAGATGGAGTATATCCGTAGAAGAGACAAAATGAATGAAAAGACGAGAAAAAACTATACTTAGTTTTTAGTCAATGTGTTTCATCATCTGACAGACTTTATCAAGGCAAATGTGATGGTTTTATTTTGCAACAAGTATATATTTGACAGTTACTCAAAAATTTTTAAATTTAAGAATGCTCATAAATATTCATCAGGTTAATTGAAAAGTAAAGAGAGCTTATAAATAACAATTTAACAAATACACTAGTCATACACAGAAATAAAATTGACCACAATTTTGATCTAAAAAATGCAACACTCTTCAAAAGAGAAAGTAATTTACTCAAAAGGAAAATCGTGATAATGACACCATTGAATACTATCAAAATGTCAATTCATGCTCATTTTTCCCAATTTCACCTTTCCAGAAGGAATTACTATTTTCCCAAGCCAACATATACAATAAATGTATTGAAAAATCAAACAAAAATGGCTGAATCCATCATTTCAATTTTCAAAGATGTATGTTTGGAAAAAAAATTCTTTTTTGAGTATACTAAATGATGTAATTTAAGTGTAAATGTCTAGATATTTCAATTAACCTGTTGAATATTTATGAATGTCTTTCTTTTTGAAGATGCTATATGACGTTATTTAGGTTCTCACACCTAAACTTTTCAGTTAACTTGATGAATACTTATGAGCGTTCTTAAATTTGAAAATTTTTTAGTAACTGTCAAATATATACTTGTTGCAAAATAAAACCATTATATTTACCTTGATAAAGTCTGTCAGATGATGAAATGCATCGGCTAAAAACTAAGTTTAGTTTTTCTTGTCTTTATATATATATATATATATATATATAACCATTCTAACAGTGTTAATAATAAAACTGATAATGCATTGAAAAATATGGAATCCTCTTTGTGAGCTATGGGAATTTGATCCCTGAATTATAAGATAAATGACTAAATTGACTGTAAATGTCTTCCTATTTGATGTCACATTATCATATTATTCATCTTGTTTCCATCTTAAAAATGTTATTCAAACTCATTTAAATTGAAAAATAGTTAAATATTTTCAGATTGATTAGAAAAAAAAAAGAAAATTTTCCTCAGCTGTTAACCTATACTGTACAAAATATTAATTATTTCATAATCAATTTGTTACATTTTGTAAAAAGGCTTTGCTTACAAGCAAATTATGATTGTGTGCATCATTTCTAATATAAGTACATCATATTTATAAAAGTATGTATATTTTTAGAAATATTCTTTATTAGCAAAATTGAGTGATTATTATTTATTCAAAATCAATTTTTGTATGCCTTAAAACTTTTCTAAAAGGACACAATTTAAGTAAGTATTGATTAAATCGTTATGGCAAGGACAGTTATTTTAACAACTTTATATTTAATTCTGTTTAGAAATATTAATGGATGTTTCTCAGTGTTTATTGAAAACATTTATTTTTAAACAAGTATAAATTTACAATTGATATCTATTGTAGTTAAAAGTAGAATTTTAAGATGAAAGGATAAAAAAAAACATGGGAAATGATTGCTGGAGTAACAGCTTAAATAAAGTTTAATTTTAATTAACATGTGTATTGATGATTGATGTGTAAAAAGTGATATCATTTCTCATTAGATGTATATGAACTGTGATGTATGTTTTAGATATTCCGTTGTGAAGAAGAAGGATGTCGCTACACCTGTATTCGTCGTATGAGTCTGATTCAGCACAAGTCGAAACATGTCAAGGAAAAACAGTATTCGTGTGAGTACTGTGGCAAAAAAATGAAGACAGCAGTGTGAGTATTTATCCACACACATATATATATAATATTGGTGTGTAACATTTTTCTACAACAATTATCTAATTACCTAGAGAAGGGTAAATGGACTCTACTGGTGGCATAATAAAAATAAAATTTTATGTTAAACTTGATAAATAAAGATTTGAAAAAGATCTTCAGGATTATTCAATGGAAGTTTGCTTAGTTTTTGAACATAAACAAGAAAATTCAGAATATAAAATGTTTTTGATCGTATAAGATTAGGTACCTTCACTTTTCATGGAAAACCAGCATAGCATAATGAAAAAGCCCTAAACTTAATAAAAAGAAAGTTTTATCATCAAAATGCTTGTTATTATTAAGAAGAAAGGAGTATTTTTTGATTATTTTTTTAAAATTTTTCAATCCTTTCTAGCACGTTCAAAATGTTTTGTTTATGTCACCTGTTGACTTAAGAATTATGATTAGTGTTTTTGTACATTTTTCTGGTAAAAAACAAATTGTTTTGGAAATTCTTGCAAAAATCAAATAATTGTTGGATTTAATGAAACTTTCAGGACTTATTCACAAATGAATTAAATTATTTAAAAAATTTTTTTTTTTTTTTTTTTTTACATATGTACCCCCCCCACACACACACACTTAAAAACTTATAAAATTTGGAGAAATTAAATTTAAGGGCAAAAATTTGTTTTATTAGTTAAAAGCAGGACTCCTTGAAGAATTTAAATCATCAGTTTTTTTGTAAAACAGTTAACCCGGTCACCGAAAATCTGTTCTGAATCATAAAATAAAAAAATGCAATAAAACTATACAGTATTTAATTAGAAAAGGTTTTAATTGCTTTTATAAATAAGATTTATTAAGGACATGACAATCTTAAGAAGAAGGTTTTTTTGATGAATAATTAATTTTTACAGGAATTGTTTTCATTTTTTTAAAATTTTAATTAGATAATTTAAAATTCTGCATTACTTAAAGGTGATATTATTATTAAGTGAAAACTACATTTACAAATCGAAAATCATTAAAAGTTTTTTTAACCAAATATTTTTTTTTAAATTTTAATTTTTTTTATGTACACATAATGTGTCCCTGTTTGAAAGTACAGTGATGATACAAGACATAATAAAAAAATAGGAGCGATGACTATAGGAAATTTAAATTAAACATTCTTAAAATTAGATTATGGAGAACATTTTCCATCATTTTTAAGATTACTGAGTACTTAAAAATTATATAGAAAAGCATTCACCTATCATTTTCTTAAAATTATTTTTTAATAGATAAGGTCTCCTTAGGACAGGGGTGTCAAACATACATCCTGCAGGCTGGATCTGGCTCGCCAAGGGTGTCAATGTGGCCCTTGAAACAATTTTGAACAAACTGAAACTTAATGATGTTTTTCTGGCTTGTACTAGTTGGCATTTAAGAGATTAGTCCTGCAGTTTATTCGCATTGTCTAACATGCCAGACAGGAAACATCCAGCCAGTCTGGATACATCAAAGGTTTGTATTGCCTGAACTGACAATAGACCATGTGTCTAAAACCGCAAATGCCTATGCATTTCTCTCATGTTCGAGAAGATTGTGTTTGATATTATATCTTGGCATTTCAGAAACCAGCCTAACATATTACCTGTGTCAAGTATATTGTGGCATTGCTTTTAAAAAATTTTCACCATGTCGTCAAAAAAACAAAAAGTTGATACAGAATGCAGAGTATTCCTAGAGAAGTGGACAGATTCATATTTTTTCACATCTGTAAATGAAAAATCTCTGTGTTTAATATGCATACAGCAAATTTCTGTTATGAAGGAATATAACATTTGCTGGCAAATTTTTATAAAATAATTTTTGATCATATTTCAGACCTTGCAGTTGATATAGATGGCCAATTCAAGGAAAAAGTGGCATTCTTTGTGGCATTTTCAGTTGTTATTGATGAGAGTACTGACATTACAGACATTGCTCTTGCAATTTTCATCTGTAGAGTTGATACAAGTTTAGCAGTTATTGAAGAGTTTGTTCAGTTGATACCAATGATAGGAATGACAAAAGCTGAAGACATCCTCGGTTCACTTATTGGCACATTGGAAAATGTTAGAGTAGACTGGGCACATTCTGTCAGTGTTGCTACAGATGGTGCACCTTTAATGATTGGAAAGAAAACTGGTATTGTAGCGAAATTGAAGGAGAAAGTGCATACTGCAAATGGAGGGCTAGGCTTCTGGACTTTTCATTGTATTATCCATGAAGAGGCACTATACTGAAAGTCACTGAAAATGGACAATGTGATGGAAGTTGTTATTAAAACTGTTAACTTTATACATGCCAGAGGCCTCAGCCATCATCAATTTGACACTCTTCTTAATGATAAAGATGCAGGCCATGGTTTGCCATATCATACTGAAGTATGATGGTTAAGTCAGGGTATTGTACTGAAGTGTTTTGAACTACGAGGGAAAATTGTAAACTTCACGGAAATAAAAGGGAAGCCTGTGGTACAATTACAGTCTCCAGAATGGGTACAGGACCTTACATTTATGGTGGATATAAACTGAATATAATGTTGCAAGGTCGTAACAAAGTTGTCACACAGTACTATGACAACATATGAGCCTTCAACTCTAAACTTGTTTTGTGAGAGATGCAGTTGTCAAACAACAATCCTACTCATTTTCCATGTCTAAAAGATCTGGAAGTGCTGAGGACTTGGGCCAGTACAAAGAGAAATTTCCCAGTTTGTTTCAACAGTTCGATTGGCACTTTGAAGTATTTGATGAATGGAGACAGAATTCAAAATCTTTTGTTGTTCATTCTCTGTGACACCTGATGTGCCAACTGATATGCCACTCGAGATAACTGATTTGCAGTATGACTCAAACTTGAAAGAAAAGTTTGCCTCTGTTGGCCTTGAAATATACAAGTATCCTTTTCCTGACTATCCCAAAATGAAAGACCTAGCTGCCAAAATTTTGTGCATGTTCAGAACTACTTACCTATGTGAGCAAGTTTTCTCAGTAATGATTATCAATAAAAACAAGCTTTGTTCAAGTCTAACAAACAAAAACTTAAATGAAATCCTAAAACTAGCTGCTTCACAGAAATCTCCCCTTATATTGATGCACTTGTCAAAGCTAAAAAGTGTTTGCATCACACTAAGTTTACTAAATGGCTAATATTGTCAGAAAGTTGAAATGAAAGCTTAGCTTTCTGAATGTTGTTTTGTAAAGAATTCAGTGTAAGCTAATTTGGTTCATTTCAAAGTATTGCATTATAACGTGCAACAATTTTTATTGAATAAAAACAATACAATTTTCTTCATCATGACATTTTCTGTACATCTCTGGCCCACTTGATGTAAAATTGAGCTCATGTGAAGACTCCTACACCACCACCCAACAAAAAAAAATGAGTTGGACACCCCTGCCTTAGGACAATAATAAAAGTATTGACACCTCGTTAAATGATTTACGAGGTATTGACAAGCACTTAATTGCAATACTGTTTGCTTTAAAAATCCATTTCTCTGTTATGTTAAAGTAAATATTTTTTTTCCAAATCACATTAACTAAACTTTAAATCAGCTAATATTCCACAAATAAAGTTTTAGAAAAATATATTTTAATTTTGGCAGATTTTTAAAACCAAGAATTAAAATTAAGTTTTGTTTACAAATCTGTCAAAATCGGCTGAATTTAAACAATTTCTGAAAGTGAGCAAAAAGTTGCGATTCTAATCTATATAATTTCTATTTCTATACACCAGATTATTTTGCTTACTGGGAATAGTAAATGTAATCATTTAGCTTTCAGTTGAAACTAAAAAGAAAGCTTCAAGAATGATTTTTCATTTTTAAAATTTCACTTTAAACCAATATATCAAAACTGAGTGGAGGTGTGTGTGTGTGTATATATATATATATGCACACTTTCTCTTTCAAATGAGGCATGGGAGGTAACTAATTTCAACACATTAAAATATCATTTTTATAAAATAATTGCTTCAAAATAAAAAATCCAATTAATTGAATGGATCCTGTAAAACAAAAGTATCTATAATGATGACTCCAATTATTCTGATTAGTGAAGATATAGGGTAAATTACTGAAATAAAGTAGTACAAATTATATAAGATAAACATAACTTGGCATAATACAATTTGCATATTGACATTGTACTTGAATATTATCAGAAATTACCTCTTATTTTTACTAAAGAAGCTCATTAGTAAAAGAATAACTTTTTCTGTAGCAAATTCACTATCAAATGTATACCTTAGCATATAATTTTAAATTTATTTTTTGTAAAATATTTTTAGAATGCATGTGAACATGGCAATGCCTATTTTTCTTTTTGAGAAGTTTAACATATCAACAAAAGTTACTTACATATTATTGAATATAATTAAATTTGAACACTTTATATCTTATTCATATACTTTTAATTTTATAATCTTTATCTTCAACAAGCAATGATACTTTGCTGACAAGATGATCATAAAAATTTGATTATATTTACTTTATCCATTTGTAAAGAGTTCATAGAATTCTTTGTAATAATCCAGAGATTTACTTAAGACAAAGGATTATCGCATATAAAATATTATTTGCTTATTGTATCTTAATGTGCTTGGCAGTTGATACTTAAACTTTGCAAATATTTCTTAAGATATTTTCCTATACTAAGGATGTGAAAAACATCCTCCCTGAAAGATTAATTTTTTAAAAGCCCTTACAACTGAAGGTATAAATAAATTTATTTAATTCAGTCATTGAAACACTGATTAGTTAAAATCTAAAGTTAAATATTTTAGAAGGAAGTGAAATGTTTTAACCTTTAAAATCTAATGAACTAGCAAAAGGAATGTATTACCAAAATATGTGCACATAATGCCTAAAGGGAATGAATTTTCTATTCTTTATAAATTGGCACTCCATGAATTTTATTTCTGTTTATCTAGCATTACACATCCAGTTGAATGGAATCTGTTATTTTGTTTCTAGTACAATTCATCTCTATGTAAACATCCAAGCCACATCATTAAAGTATCTAGATATGACCGTGCAGGCATTCTTAGAGTGTTTAGTTACAAACAGCCTCTATTTAGTAAATGGTCATTGGTATTTTGCTACAATATTTTGAAATTTGCAAAAAAATTTAACTTAATGTGTAGTTCCATGAATTAATAATGTTCGGAACTTAGAAATAACATTAGTCATTTCATTTTCCCACATCAGTTTATAAGCTTTGAATAGACTCACAGTAAAAATATCATGAATGGGATGTCTTTACATGCGTGTTTTGAAATAATGAACTTATTTCATGAAAAAAAAATTAAGAATATCCTGATGAGTAAAGGTTTTCAAGTTTTATCAAGCTATGCCAATTAAGACTTGTTTATTTACAAATATTTTTTAAATCAGTTTTTCTTTTCTGGCATAAATATCAATAATTATGCTGAAAATAAAAACTTGGGTAAATTTTTTTTTACAAATTAAGCATGTACTTTTTATTGGATGGCTCTCAGAATAATAGCATTACAAATGACTTCTTATTTACATGAAGTAGAAACAATCACAGACAAGGAAAAGAAATATTTTTCAGCTTTGCTATAAGGAGGCAAATTTTATTGTTATCTAGATGTTGCCAGTATTCTTTTTAAGTCTGTCTAATTAATTTTGATGCTATTTTTTTAAATAATCATTATTATTATTATTATTATTATAACCAACTGTGCAACTGAAAGGGAAATATTGCTAAAGGATTGGCTATCTGATTTTCTTAAAACACTAAAAAACATCTATTCTCTTATAATTATTTGATTGAGTTGGGTTCATTTTTTGAGTTTTATAAAATATTTATAAGTGGAGATGCTTACTATTTTTTATAAGAAATAAAGCTGTTTTTATTTTCTTAATCAAATATTAAAGAAATTATTTTTATATAGTGTCTTATTTTTTGCCAGTTGTTTTGACAAGTAATTAGTTACGGTTTTAAAAAGTAATTAGTTACGGTCCAAAGGGACTGCTGAAAGTTCCTCAGCTCGACGCACTTCTTAAAATATTTTTATTTTTTCCATTATATCCTCCTTGGCTGTAGTGAAAAATTTTCAGCACTTCATGAATTTAAAAACAAATTTTGCAAATAGACACCTAGTCTTATAGATTTTTATTGAAATTTGAAAATTCAACCAGAAAACATTTTAACTTTAATTTCTTAATATTAAAATCTGACAAGAAAGTTTGTTTTTTACAATTTATATATGTCAGAAAACAATTATCAGAATAATTGATGTTTGCACAAAACATAAGTCAGGCCACAATTAACTCCTCAACATATAATTTTAATGTTTTTATTTTCCTTTTATTTTTTTGTCATATTTATACAACATTATTCTATATTTCAGGACTTTGCGTAAACACATTAGTAAGATACATCTAAATATCCGTCCATACCTGTGCCAGATGTGTGCACAGGCTTTTGGTGAGGACAGTGAGCTCCAATCTCACATCAAGCAGAGACATACTTCCCATGATGAAAAGGACTTTTTCTGTCAGTTCTGCCCTTATGCAACTTCCAATAAGTATTCCTATCAGAGTAAGTACATTCATCTATCTGTTCTTAGTTCAACATTTTTATTGTTAATTCAGTCATCTATCAAAAAGAGAAAAAAAAAAAGACTTGCCATTTTTATTGCTTGTTTTATTCAGATGGACAATAATATCTGGTAAGTTTGAAACTTATAATGAAGGAACATCTTAAATACTGTGGTAAAATTGGAATATCCTTTGTTTTTGTGTTTTTAAATGAAATATCTTATTTCTACCTTTGATATGGTATATCTAATTTTTTTTCAACTTATTGCCTTTTCAGCGCACATGTACCGAGTCCACAAAACACGTGCACCAGGAGATAACCGAGAGGAATTCAAGTGTTCGCACTGCGATTTTGTGACTATTTTTGGGCATCGTTACCGCATCCACATGAATAGTCACAACAACATCCGCCAGTATGTTTGTGAATTTTGCAGCAAGGCATTTGTCTCGTCCAACAGCCTTCGTCGACACAAGCTCTGGCTGCATTCCTCAGAAAGTTTGTCCTGCCCATTTTGTTCATATGAGACAAAAACAAAACAAAGCTTGAGTGTACATGTTCGTACCCAGCACACAATGAAAGGAGTCAAGCCATACATGTGTCGTTATTGTGACTTCCGCTCAGCCACAGGAGGAAACTGTCGCAAACATATTATGAATAAGCATAAAGGGCTGGAAGTTGAATATGTAAAAGATACGACCCTGCTTGAAGCAGCCAAAGCCAGTTTAGATTCTATGGCTACTCAGTTTACATCTATGTTTATGATGGATCAGCATGAAGATAAACCTGTTGGCTACAATGAACAGAGAGACAATTCTTTAATTAACTAAGAAAGGACAATAAACAAATTTATGATGTATCTTGAACGGTTCTAAAACAGTGGGTCTTTAATGGTAAACAAAAGACTTCCATATTTTTCCATTTGTTCTTTCAACTGAATTTTTAGTTCAAATAATATGCATTGAATTTCCTTGAAATCTAAAACAAATATAACATGTTAAGAAAACAGTTCACATCCAGTTTATGCTATTTGGAACTTGTCATTTAGATTATTGTTAAGTTTGTTCTTAGCGATATTGTATAAATTTCTTTCATGTGTTTAATTGTAACATTGAATTAAAAAATACCATCAACAAAATATGTATAAATTGTTTTAGCTAGAAAAAAAAAATTGTTCATTCAAATTCTGTTGTTGCACAGTATGGCCAGAAGAATAGTTTTGGCTGAATCTTTAAAACATTAACTGAAATTTCATCAAGTGAAAATAATAACGTGCAAATATGAATAAGAAAGTTAATACAATGCCAGTCAAATGACTGAATTCGTAAATGGATGGGCAGGGGAGATAACTTAAGAGGAATTCACTAGGAACGTGTTAAAAATGGAGTAAATTTGAAGTTAACCTAGCACGTAGAGTGACAAGAAAAAATACAGACAAGTTTCTCTTTGTTTAAGCAAATATCAAGAATAATTACAATGTTTTTAGCTGCTACTTTGCTGCAAAACCCTTGATTATTTTCATGACTAAATTAAATTTAGTAATTAATTTAAAATGTAATTACTGTGGAACATAATGGAGTTTTTTTTCCAAAAAAATTCATTTAAATATAAGATGGAAAAATTGTTATATACAAGATAATTTAGCATTTTTTTTGTATTCAAAAGCAAACTGTGGGTGGGTTTACACCACCATTTCTAATTCTTGCCATATCCGACCCATTCTGCCACACATTTTGCCCAAAATGATATTTTTACCATGACTGGCTAACAATGCAAAACAAAGAGACTGAAAGAAGAAACCAGCAGATGATTTGATTGATGCCTATATAGCCAGAATTTTTATTTTATCGTCCATGTGTATTTTGGCAGTTTGACTTTTTTCTTCTTTTTTTTTTCTAATTATATTAGAACTTATTTTGTTACTTTCAAAAGTGAATTTAATGATATATTCATATTATTTAGTGATATTAGAGATTTAGATAACCATTTTGTTTAGATGTTTGCTGAAGCAAGTTTTCATGTAATTGTTTAGTAATTATTTAAGTTTTCATTTTTGACTATGCTTTGCAACTTAAACTAATATTTAATTTTTATAAAACGGTATAAAAAATAGATAGTAATCAATAGACAAATTATCTTGTTTTGATTTTTCTTTCTAGTGCATTTCAGTTTAATAGTCCCAGCTAATTAGTCCTCTCTTGGCAACAGCATCAAATTTGGGGTTATGCCACATTTGAGCTCTGCTTTTGTGAATAAGATTCATTATGATTCTATCTGTGACCTTTGTTCTGTCAACAACATCTTACCAGCTACAGCTTTGATATTTTTAAATAAGAATATTCTTATCTTTTCTCTTAGATTTTCAAAAACCTTCAGCTAAATCCCTGAACCTATAAAAATGTTGTTTGAATCTTCCTCAACATATTATGTTGTATATCTTTGAAGTAATTTATGTAAATTTGGGGGCAGTTTGTTATTTAATTTGGTTAATCAAGATATTCTTCAGTGTTATGATTGTTTAAAATTTAATCATGCTTATTTGACTATTTGCATTTAATGACAAGTTCCATAATTAGCAATTCTGTGTACAATATTGGTTTCTTAATCAACTGTGGAAAGTGACTAGTTATAACATTAATTTATTTAGCTTTTATTTAAATTGGAAGAATTATATTGTAAGTCACTTCTATACTTGACCATGACACACACACTCTCAAGACTGTTAATCAGCAAATGCCCATTCCATCTGCAATGCACATACCTTGCCCAGAAAATACTTCCCCCCCCTCCACCACCACCACACACACACATATATATAATATTTTAAATACAAAATCAGTACTGAGCTCTGTGGATAGTATATAAATTGATACCAGTCTCTGAAAAAACAATGTTGCAAATAATACTTTTCAACTAATAAGAATCAACAAATTAATTTGGGTTTCTTTTCACTTCAGAAATTTATATAAGAGCCTACTTGCCTCAGTTTTGGACAATCTCTTTCAAAACCCTAAGTCCTTCAGTTAGTTAGTTTTAGATAATAAAATAGGCAATTTCAAGAGAACCTTCATTACAGCAGTTTTAATCTATCTATAAAGCAAACATTGAAAAAAGTTGATGCAAAATTTTAGTTACTCTGTTAAAGATGTTTTAACAATGTCCTTGTCTTAATCTTATTCATTTATGTACTCATATAATTATGAACATGTTTTTTTCATCCAGACAAGATATTTGGCAAACATTTTTAAGCTTAGAAATACAAAAGATTATTTATGCCTTTTCAATTTATCTTTGGTAAAGTATCAAATAATCCTTAGAAATGTAGTTGGTGTTTATATTTATTTTATGCATTTTACTTTAGCATAAGTTGTTATTTGTAAAATTTTCAAATGGTTTTAATTAAAGTTTAGATATTTTCTTTTTAGTTTTTAGAAAGGAAATAGATGACTTTTTAAATATTCTATTTGATTCTGCACTTGATATTTGGCTTTTGTACACTAATTTGCAACTGAAAATAATTTGAGTTCTTTATAGGCATATTTTCTGTTGTATTATTATGCATATAAAGAATTCTTGTATTAGTTGCAATATAGATAAAAGGTTATACAAATATCCCCATATTTTTGTAGATCTGTATAGACTAATTTCTTTGTTAAAGGAAAAAAAAGAATTAAAAATATTGCATAAAAACAAAACAAGCAAAAACACTCATTGCCATGTTTTATTTGAGTGATAGAACAGATTGGTGTCTATCACTTAGACAACAAAATGAATTTGGATTTTGTGTTTTTGTTTTCTTTTTCCATAATCATTCAGTAATGTAGTTTGAACCTGTTTACATTATCAGGGGTGCGGTGACTACAGTTGTTTGATTTTGGAAATTATACAGAACTGGTTCTATACTTTTGCCATTTTGCTCCACTGATATCCTTTTCTATCTACAGCTGATATGTTGTAACATATAAAGTGCTGTATGTTTTTTTTTCTTTCTTTTGTTTGTTTTACAAAAGAAAGTAGTGAAAAATATTGCTCAGAACGTGAATGAGGCCAAAGACAATGAAGGTTGATATTTTTTCAATTTTGTTTATTTAATGTTGTATTGAATATATATATATATATATATATATATATATATATATATATATATATATATATACACACACAAACACACTACATAAAAAAAACTCAAACAGCAAAAATATCAGAAGACAATTCAATGCCTCATTCAGCTTTTATTTTTATTTCTTTTTTTTATGAAACGGTTTTTTGCCAAAATTCCACCATAATGCAGCGATGATAAAAATGCTCGTGTTATTAAGTCTGTATATCCACACACACACACACACACACTTTTCAGGCATGGGATACCATTATTCTAAACTGTTGTTTTTAAAAATACTTTGAAGAAGTTAAATCAGAAAGAATACTTATTAATATGCCTTGTTAAATCTGGTAAGAATAAATTACAAAACTTAATTTATGCCCTGGCTTATGTATTTCTCAGTGACAACCAAAAATGTTGTACGGGCTGACCATATTTTTATGCTGGTATCACACAACAAAATCAGGAAAGTTCAGCTGACAGATGTCAACAATATAATTGATAAGAAATAGATACTTCAGAAGCAGAACAAACATGTATATAGTAGAATATAAAGAAAGTCAGAGCTAAGGTATTTTTTGATTTACACAGGTTTCAGACTATAAAAAGCTTTTGTGAAGTATCTTATTTCAGTTTCTGTATATTTGTTTCTCAAGAAAATGCTAGTCTCATAGGAACTGGCACTTTCATAGAATTTATGCTATTGACTATTTAAAAAAAAAAAAAAAAAAAAAAAATCAATAATTTACAGGGGATAAAAGCTTCAAAAGCAGTGTTTCATGCTAGTTGTCCAATGTAAATCTGCATTTAATACAAACATTTTTAAAAATATTAATCAAAGCTTTAAGGATGCAGCTTTCCCTGCAGCTGAAAGTGTGTCTGGCTATCTATCTATAATCCTATATATCAAATTGTGTGTGTGTATATGTATGTCTTTATATTGTTACACATTAACACGAGAACAGTGTAGATGGTCTTAAAAATTATTTGAACAACAAATTTTTATAGAATACAGTTCAAAATTGAAAATAAATTAAATCTGAAAATATCTAAAAAAAATAATTGAAGGTTCTAAAAAAATACAGAAATATGGTGCTCTTTTACTTAATTTTTTAAACTATTCCTATCATTGGTGAATAAATATTTCTGTGTATATTGACTCTTAAAATTCATGGATTTTCCATTGTTCTGATAACATCATCATTATTTTTAACATTGAGGGATATTGGAAACATTTGATGAATGCTTTTACAATTTCTAAACGTATCAAAATCAAATGTTATAGTTTAAGTGCAAAAGGATAGTTGAGTAAAATAAGTCTAAATTGTTTTATTTGTTATTACTTTATATCCCCATAAATGCATATACATTTTTGGCAGGATAGCCTTTCTCTCTTCGCCTATATTGTGTAGATCCATACAAATCATTTAATGCAAATTATAGGTTGCACAATAATTCAGAACAAAGTTCTCTATTGCTTTCTTCCTAACTATTTCATTCAGAAATTCAAATATTTTGTAATGTTTTGAAGTATGGCTCAAACAAGATTATTTCTGTATGAGATAGTAGGCAAATAAAGCACAATAGATTATAGTTGTTCTTTAATGAATAAAATTATTGAAAACATTAGTCCCATTGTTAGTCTAATTTGAAAATATTGTAATTTATCTTTACAGTATAATATATGAACCAATATCTTGCCATATTCTATAGAAACCGTTTTATTAA